CAGGGGTGTCAAACTCATTTTAGGGTGAGGGCCGGATGAGAAGAAATGTCGCCATTAACGGGCCGAATCAACTTTTTTTTTTTTAATCACAGTGCACCAAATTACAAATTAATTTGCAAAAAAAAAACTAGAAAGACACTATTCTGTAAAACTGCATTTAATAAGACCTCGGAAACTGTTCATTAACACTCTTATTCCTTATTCCTATAATGTTGTCTAAGTAATGGCAATCAAAAACTTTGAATATGAATATTATTTGTCAGATACTTTTTAGTAATGAGAAAATAAGAAAAAAACTGCTATTTGCTATAAACTGCTATAATCTATTTGTGTACAGACAGTTACATTAAATATAAACAATAATTTCACTTCACAATTAAAAAAACTGCCTTCAACATATTTAACAACTCAGTAGTATTTCTTATATAAGGAAAACAAATAATAAAATAATTTCTTTATGGTTAATTAATGCAAATGAAAAATCATTCGCTTTGGATATGAACATTAAATATACACTAGAAATGAGAACTTTCCTTTAACAAAGAAATATCTAGATTGCATTTGTAATGCATTAAGTTTGACATCATAAATCACATACACATTATGATTTTAATTCCTGCTTCCTGACACCTGACATCTCTTTTCTTCAACCAGTGCATCAACATCAGCAACCAGTTTTTGAGCCGTTGCCACTCTCATAATGTCATTTAGATGTCTGTGGCTGTGTCCGAAATCGCCCCCTATACCCTTAAATAGGGCACTATTTGAGGGAACAGCCATTTTTAGTGGTGTCCGAAACCATAGTGGACGTTCTCGAGTGCACTCATTCAATCCCACAATGCACTGCAAAAACGAGTGTACAACTGGTGCACGCTCAACGGCTAGAGAATGCCCATAATGCACCGTGAGAGTCACGCGCCGAATGAATTCCCGCATCTCGCCAGAAGATGGCGCCCGCAGCTGAATAATCAATTTGTTCATTTTTACAAAGCGCTCATCCATGGCGTACAGCATAATGTACAACACGGGTATAAATTCATTGTAAATTGATTATTAAATTGTTTGATTAGGGTTTATACATAATTTCCGTGATAAATCCTTTAATCTTACTACTGGAGCTGCTAGTTTGCTAGTTTCAAATGATTAATAAACAGCAAGCACAAACTATGTAAAAGCGGCATTCCTTCCGGTGCACTCAGTGTCCGAATTCACTACTCGTTTTCATTCACTCCTTCTAGTGAACTGAATTAGTGACCTAATGTAGGGAATAGTGAATGAGGGTATAGGGGGCGATTTCGGACACAGCCATTGATTTTTCTTTACCACTTTGTTTCCGCGTTGAATGAGTCACATGCTGAATATCTATTGTTCTGCAGCTCCATTGCTTTTGCCTGATGCTGCTGATGTTACCCGATCGACGTAGCGGCTACTTTAGTCTAGAATTGCATTCTTTCTCAGAACATGCTGGAAGTAAACGCTTCGAAATTAGTGCGTCATTATAATTACAGAAGTACGCTAAAATAGTGAAGTGGTCGCGTCTGCGCTGCTATCCTTAATTTTACTTAGGCTTAGTTACTTCTAGGCTTACTTTTGTACGCTGTAGTCCGTGTAGTTTGTAATGTGATCGGGCTCGAGATGTGTGATCTGGCGGTTCTGACAGTGCGTCTGGTTCGGTCTTTCGAGCATCGCAACTTTAAACCGGTGGTTTACAAAGACGTTAGTTTAGATCAGACGGTGGAGGAGTTTATTACATTTGTTACGCAAGGTAAGCCATGATGACAACAGATTCATTGAAACCCCAGTTCACATGATTCATGTTTATCATGTAAATCAGATATTTGCTTACCATTACTAATCATTGTTTAATGTTAACGTTAAATACTTCTCTCTTTTAAGATGTTTCAACAAGAGCTGGATTGCCTCCACCCTTTAAGAAGTTTGACTATGGTAAGTCTGCACTTATTTTTCAAACAAACAAATACGATTTTTACATTTTAGATTTTTTAAGTTATTACATTAATATCATGTTAATGTGTTGTTGCAGACACAATGAAAATCATACACCAGGCACATGGAGCAAAGGTAACTTTAAATCAGATCAACAACTTGTGGCATAAATGTTCTAATATTGACATGACTACATTTGTTTATAAAATGCTGCACTTGAACAAGTTTTTCAGCTGTACTCCTTTCATGTTCATACTTCCACTTTTATTTCACAAAAGTTTAGAAATGTCCACTTGATTTTGATAAACAGTCCAATTTTCATGATGAATAGTTTTTTTAAAAACAAAATTAGTAACTATTGTAATTAGTATTAATAATGATGTTTGTTTTTCATGATTTCAGACGAATGAGCTGGTAATGAGTTTAGAGGATGATGAAAAGTTGATTCTTCGTGATGGCTGCAGGTTAAGAGCATGTGGTGTTGGTATGTAAAAGTAATATTTAGATCTTTAAGATTCAATGCAGATTACATTTGTACATTTTCATAGAATGATAAACTAAATATTTTATTTTTGTGTAATTAATTTTGCCCATGTGCACTTAAAAATAAAACATGTATGCAAAATTGAACCTGTACCTGCTGAGATCTCTATATTTCAACACATTTCCTCTCCTCACAGCCAATGAGACAGAACTTGCCTTCTTCAAAATAGCAGACTATGAAAAGTTCAAGGCCAGTCCACAGACAGAATGGTGATGACAATCAGGATGCAACTCAAGAGGTCTTGGAGTATTTATTATCAGAGGCACTTTTTTTCAGCTGTGACAAGCAGGTGATCTCTTCAAGTTGGATCGAAACATCTATTTTAATTTAATTTATAGCTATAATTTTTATATTTATTCTTACCATTCAAATACCTTCAGCATAGTTTCTGATGTACACGTTTGACAAACTTTGAAGGGAGATGTCATGTTGTCACAGAATAATTATTTTCTTGGGTATGAATACTGTACATTTCTGTGCCAAAATGTGCATTTTGAATGCCAGTTATTAGGTATTTTATTTGCCAGGTATTTTATTTACAACAACTCCGATACCAGTTATCTTGTTTTATTTAAATGACACCTTGGAAGTTGATTGCATTTTGTTAAATAAAGTCGAATGTATAAATCATGCTTTCACAACACCAAAAATATTGATTGACTGAAAGTTCAATTCAAAACTTCTTTCCAGTACAACATCCACAATAACGACAGCCTATCAGTCAGACCCGGAAAGTGAAACTAAAAATGTATTAACATTTAGTAAATTTTTTTTCAGAGCAACATGTGCAGTCATTGCATACTGTAGAACTGGACCATTTTGAATTTGTATTATGTATCGGTGTAAATAACCAGACATCCAAACATTACTTTTAAACTTTTTATATAACAATAATTTCACACATGCTTTGTTTATAACAGTTTTGACTCATAAAATGCAATTTTGGTCATTATTAGTGCTCAGTACTCATGGAGTTTGCAAATTGAGTTTACACAATAACTGGTCCTGAGGACGATCATCTAACATCCACAATAACGACAGCCTATCAGTCAGACCCGGAAAGTGAAACAAAAAATGTATTAACATTTAGTAATTTTTTTTCAGAGCAACATGTGCAGTCATTGCATACTGTACAACTGGACCATTTTGGATTTGTATTATGTATCGGTGTAAATAACCAGACATCCAAACATTACTTTTAAACTTTTTATATAACAATAATTTTACACATGCTTTGTTTATAACAGTTTTCACTCATAAAATGCAATTTTGGTCATTATTAGTGCTCAGTACTCATGGAGTTTGCAAATTGAGTTTACACAATAACTGGTCCTGAGGACGATCATCTGAGATATTGGCATACTGTAGTAATAATACAAGGCACATGTTAAGTCATTTTAGTGCATAGAATTATAAAACTTGAGCCAGGAGTTGAAGACATTTATACCTCAGTACAAATGACTAAGCTAAAAGCTGTGTGATACAGACCTGAGTTTTGAGTCTATGCATTGGTGTATGACTCAGATATAAAAACATAACACTAATGATGGCTTTTATATTCTAGTGAACAGAAATAGAGAGCTGAAGGTCTTGAGGTGCTTTGTACATGTGAGTGGAGCTCTAGTCTGTGTGCCTCTGACAGAAGATCACAGCTGGAACGAACTGCACCTAATAACACTAACATCCAATCAGAATACTCAACTTGACTATAAAATTACCTTATCATATCTTTTTATTTTTCCCTTATGAAGATAAGACAAATTTGCTAGTGTGACAATCTCATCATATCATTATTGTTCCCATTTTAGATAAGGCTGACTTAAAGTAGTCAGATTTTGGCAAGTCTCAAAATACTTTATAAACCTTGTCCACTTTGTGCGACGCGCATCTTGGCTCTAATGTTTTTCACTTGCGTTCCACTTGAGAGATTTTTAAGACCTGCATCTTTAAAGTGTTGACCACTTCACTGCCAAATGTATATCTGTTTAACACTTCATTTTATATAAGTCTTTAGGCTTGTTTGAGATGCGCCTCGCTTGAAATGAAGGCGAGAGTAGGCGGCTGCAGTGAGGGGAGGAGTGAAATAAGAGCAGGCAAGACGGACAGTTCTGACCTCTGGGAAGTGGAACAGATACCAACGAGATTAAAGGCAGATATCGCGTTATTCACACTCACACACTGTGCTGCTGATAAACATGATATAATTTCAGTTCTGTTGCTTTTATATGAAAATAAATATGATGAACAAGACACTCAAAGTGCTTGCTATTTAATTCCATACGAAAGGTGTATTTATCATCCATTTTTACTTTAATACAAACATGTATTTTAGATTTTTATATAAATATGACAACAATCACATATCTCACACAGAGATCGCACTGTCATAGTGTTTGGGAACATTCATGCATAATTTAAATACACAATCACATCAGTCGTTTCCCATCATGCTTTTGATCAGCGCAGTCGGTGGAGAGCAACTGCGCTCGACTGCTCAATCCGACACAGCCGCCTCGCCGTCGCAAGAGTTTTTTGACACACGTCAGCATGACATCAGAGCAAGTTGGACATAACTCGGACACTTTTCTAACCGGCATGCATCTCGCGGTGATCACCGGTGATCGGTTCTGCACAGATTTTGCTCATCTTAAACAAGCCTTTTAATTGCACCAAGAACATGGGTGTTCTTGTAATCATTCCCAGACCTCTATGGTATTCCATTAGTCACCATATGGTGGTGCTGTAAGACTGGACAGTTGCGTTTACTCTCCCATCCCCGGCGGATTCTTGTCAGTCTGGTGAAGATGCATGGGAGAAGAAGGAAGCAACGGCACACCAGAACAATGCAGGGTAGAACTACAGCCAGTAAGTAGCTTGGTGGCATGTAGAATGGATATGCCTCAATGTGGAAGGCAAAATCCCAGCCAAAGAAGAGTGTGTGCATGATGGACAGAGTCAGAGCAATGTAGCCCAAACCAGACTAAAGAAAGAAAGAAAGAGAGAAAACTTTATTCAAAAAGCTTCCTTCCTACAGAGCTTAGCTCCAACTCCAATCAAACACAATGAACAATCTAATCAAGGTGTTCAGGGTTATTTAAAAAATACAGGCAGGTGTGTTGGAATATGGTTGAACTGAACTGCAGGAAGCAGGTAGCGGTTGCAGGGTTAGCTGTATTTGTTTAGGCATAGTAGCTACTGGTTCACCAAAGCTCCAGCCAACGTAGTTATATGTAATTAATGTGTTACAGCAGTGTTTCCCAACCCTGTTCCTGGACGCAAACCAACAGTACAAATCATAGAACTCTTCCTAATCAAACACACCTGATTCAACTCAGTAGAGACACCAAGAACTGAAAGGGATGGGCCAGATAAGGGAGACATCCAAAACGTTGTTGTCCACCAACGCTGTTGGTGTGCCTATAGGAACAGGATTGAGAAACACTGCTATGGTGTGCATGGCCTCACCTGTACAAATGTAAACTCTCTCCAGTTGAGAGTGTTGCCCACTGAGGGTAGGGAAGTGACGGCCAGTAAAGAAAGGACACCCAGACCCAACACTCCACAAGAAAGGTACAGCTCAGATCGCCAAACACCCAGCTCATCCCAGGGCTCCTCTGTACCTGCTTTTACCTGATATGTTCAGACAAACACACAGCAGACACTATACTTTACTGTTGTGAGGCACTTCAGGTCACACACTAAACCTATGAAGATCTATATTCTCAGGTTGGCGCACCTGTTTGTAGGCAGTATTGACAATCCTGTGCAGTGAAATTCTGCGCAGTGGCAGGCAAAGGCTGTAGACACCATGCAACGCTGCACCAAGGAAGCTCAACAGGCCCAGTTGTTTCCTCCGCTGCAACCAGTTGTCCAACCAGGATGGGAAACGTCGGTACTTGGTGCCGCTCCAGAGCTGCAACCATGCAGCAAACAATCCTGGGAAGTATACGAGTGCCAGGGTCACCAAGGCTACTGCTGGCAGGCTCTCGTTCACCAGGTCAAGGGCAAGACGGTAGAAAGCATTGTGTCCTTGTGCAAGAAAAGGCAGCAAAATTCCCAGCAGGACACCATAGCCATAGAAGAAGAGAAAAAGGAGGAAGGTGACAACAACTGGGCCACTCCAAGATGGTAATAGGCGCAATGGGGCTACTTCAATTTCTCGAGCAGCAGACAAGCCACCCATATCCACGGGGTGGAACCCCATCTGCCGAGCCAACTGGACAACTTTCTTCTTCCCCTCTGTACTGTTACTGCAGATCAGGACCTACAGTAGTGAAAGGTATAAACTTACAGATTTCAAATAACCCTGTATTTGTTTTCAGCAAATACAGATAAAACAACAACAGCCCTGACCTGTCTGCTTCCATCATGAGCCCCAGTCTGTAACTCCCAGGTTGAAACTGTGTTAAAACCTTTGACCACTAGACTGTTTGGAAACAGCTCAGCTAGTCGTTCCGCATTGGACAGCCCATGGATATTCATCTCTGCTGCATTACTTACATCCACAAGCACCTTCCCTGCCAGTGCAGACTGTAGCCCCAGCAAGGAGCAGTAATGCTCAGGGAACAATGCCATAAACACTAGACACACTGCTTGTGATACTGCCCCCTCCTGGTTCCTCAACTCCACTGCATCAGGGAACAGTCCTGATGGGATGCGATTCACACAGCGACTCCCAACCACCACTCGCACACCAGAAGCTACCAGCCGCAGAGCCAGTGAGCGAGCAAAATCTCCAGAACCGAGTATGGCCACTGTAGGGCTGGTTAGACATACAGGTAGGGCATCAGCAGGGCCTTCAGAGTCTGAGAGTAAAGGAGTTGTCATATCTTCTGCCATAATGAACCTGAGAAGAAGAGTGTGAGGTTAGGAAAATATGTGCATTTATATATTTGGACATTTCCAAGCTGCTGTCCTGTTACTGTTAAAGTAATAAAGAGACAAATTCCATGTTATTTGGAGATAGAATTATTAGATATGTTTGATGAACTATTAACTTATATAAGTTCATTAATACATGTGTGTAATTAACATGCAATTTAGTTTCTGAATATTTGTGCAGCATATGAAAATTACACCATATCAAAATAATTTAACTTTCCACAAAATTCTGACACAGGAACTAACAATATTTCCCTTTGCATAACAGAAAAAAAAGTAGATAATCTCATTCCATTTTCTCAAGTTTAAATTCTCTTTTTTATTTATTTATTTAATGTTTAACCTAGTACCAAAATTAAGCAAAAAATACACAAATTCGACATGGCCGATTGGCCTAAAATATTGTATTTTTTAAATAAACATTGGATGACATGTTATATTATTATTATTATTATTATTATTGTTTTTATTAGAGCTATTATTGTAGTTATATTGTTGAGCATGTTAACATTTCTTTTTCGCCTTTCAAATGAGTTGTCAGTAAGCTTCGATTCTGCTAAAGGGGTGGGGGACAAACGTTCTCAATTACTCTTTTACATTGAAATTACACAAATTTTTTTGAAATTTTACAAAAATTACTTTTACATTGAAATTACAATCTTTAAAATTTATTTTAAAGATTGCAATTTCTCCACATCATTAATTTATAATTTAAATAATTATTTATCCACATCAGAAAATCCATTATACTATATGCCAGGGGTACTCAAATATAAACTTGAAAGGTCCACTTACCAAATTTCCATTCAGTCTGAGGTCCGGAAAAGTGACGGTCAAATTCCAAATAGAGAACTCCAACAAAAAAAAGGCAATACCCAAAACTTTCGAACTATACACAAAAAAACAACATGGTTGGCCTTTTAGTGTGAAAGGTGACACCTTCTTTGTGCCACCAGTTGTTTAAACTTGTGCATAAAAGGTGTGAGGGCCAGGCCGAGGCACTGATGTAAGTGTTCATTGGTGAGTGTGCTGCGTTATGCATTTTTCACCATGTTCATAGTTGAAAAGGCAGATTCACAGCAGTACGTTGAGGGAAACATGGTGAAAATTTGAAGGGCCATCTTCTGCAGGAGAGGAACACCTGCTGCAGTAACCATCTTCGTCCAGAAGGTGACAGGGTCACAGCGAGATTCCTGCAGTGCTAGGTTTTCTTGGAGATCAATTAGCTCTGTTTGCAGAGAAGCAGCATTGGCCCATGGGAAGACTTTCGTGGCTTCAGTTGAGAATTCTGCAATATTTTTGACAAGAAATGGATTTTCGATGCACAACAAGACTTGTTTTCCCAGAGGGAAATCTTCAAAGCGAGTTTGGAAATTTTTAATCAGCTTTTCCAGGAATTCAGCATAATTGTGATGGTGATGTTTTCCTGCAGTCTGATCCAAAAGTCTTGGGAAGTGAAGCAGGTTCTGCTGTAAGTCACATTTGAACACCTCCAGCTTCCTCTGGAAAGCATGGACAGCTGACATGAGGTCACACACTGTGCTGTTTTTGCCCTGGAGCTTCATATTAAGGTCATTGAGATGGGAAGTAATGTCAGTTAGAAAAGCAACAACTTCCATTTCCTCTTCATTCTTCATGAAATCCACAAACGGTTTGGCTTTTGCACTCTTCTGATTCAACAGAAATGTCTCCAGCTCTTTCCGCAGTGCCCAAAACCGCTCCAGTACCTTGCCTTTACTAAGCCACCGGACATTGTTGTGAAGGAGCAAATCATCAAAAGTTGCATTCACCTCTATTAGAAATGAGCGCAACAAACGATGTTGCAGAGCAAAGGATGTTCTCAGATAGTTGACAAGTTTCATGACTGTTGTCATTACTTCTGAGTACCTTTCTCCAAGGCTGGCACACAAAACCATCTGGTGAATTATGTAGTGGTATGCCATGAGGTCAGGTAGAGTTCTCAAGCGTGACACTAATCCCCTCTCTCTCCCAATCATACGTGGCACGCCATCAGTAGCAATGGAAATAACATGTTTCAGGTCTATCTCTCTGTCTCTAAGCATCTGTGTCACTGCTTCATAAATGTCATCCCCCCTTGTGTGTCCATGAAGGTTTGTGAGACCCAAAACATCTTCATGAAATTCTCCCATTTCTTCATCATAAAATCTGACAAAGACCATGAGTTGTGCATTGTCTGTGTTGTCTGTGGATTCATCCACAGCCAATGAAATGAATTTGGCTTTTTTTATAGCAGAGCTAAGTTGTTCAAGCAAATCATCAGCAAGTATTTCAGTTCGTCTTGCAGCAGTGGAATCAGAACAGGGTATTTGGCTTATTTTCTGGATTATTTCATCCTTTTGAGTCCCTTCAAACAGAGCAGTCACCACTTCACTCATACACTCCTTGACTATTTCAGCATCAGAGAAGGGTTTCTTGTGTTTTCCCAGGACCCATGCTACTCTTAGTGAGGCTTCCGTTGCCCGCTCCTGTTGTGTGGCTGATCTAACTATTACACTGCTTGTAGCTTCATAGGATGATTTCAGCTGGTTTATTTTTGTGGTTCTTACCTCTGTGTTCTGAGGGTAATTTTGTTCAAAATGTGAATGCTTGGTTTCATAATGGCATTTCACGTTACCACTTTTGATGATTGCTACCGTCTCGTTCAGTGACGGCGCTACACCGGGGCTAGGGAGGGCTATAGCCCCGTCAGAATTTTTAATAGCCCCGGTTTAGCCCCATTTCTTTATGTAGTAACTCTGACGTCATCAATATAATTTATTTTCTTCACACCCCCACATATTCGTCTAGCCCCCCCTTAGCACCGGTAGAGAAAAAAGTCTGGCGCCGTGCCAGTGTGTGTGTTTCCGTGTTGGCAGCACTGGTTCTCGGTATCGGGATACTGTGCGCGCTGGCGGCCGGTCCGCTTCATGCACAGTGCTTTGTTGAGTGGTATGTAGCCTATGGCTGTCGCATCTGACACATTATAAATGTCTGCATGTCACGCTTACTCCTGATTTCTAGAAACATTTCTTATATTATTTAAATTCTTATATTGTATCTATTGCATGCATATACATACACTCTTAAAAATAAAGGTGCTTCACGATGCCATAGAAGAACCTTTTTTGAACCTTTAACATCTGAAGAACCTTTCTGTTTCACAAAAGGTTCTTTGTGGTGAAAGAAGGTTCTTCAGATTATGAAAAGTTACCTTGGTAAAAGAGATGGTTCTTTAAGAACCTTTGACTGAAAATGGTTCTTATATGGCATCGCTGTGAAGAACCTTTTAAGCACCTTTATTTTTAAGAGGGTATGCATATTAAATATATTTCCATAGTTCCATATTTTCCGATTTTAACTTATTATTTGTTTATTTGTTTATAAGGAAAATAGGTATTTCTTGCTTTGACGTCTCCTCCCTCTTGGTCAATCAAATTAAAGAGTGGTCAACAGAAACATGCTCTGGAAAGAGTCAAAGATGCTTTTATTCTGTGAGTGTGCATGAATAGACTAAAGAAGACTATAGACTTAGTAGCCTATATATATATTGTTTCATATGTTGTGTTCATATTTTTTTAACTACGTGCAAATGCTGCATTATGGGGTCAAATTTGAGAGAAAAAAAGAGAGAGAGAGAGAGAGAGAGGAGTTTGTTAGCTAGCTAGTTGAAAAGACATTAAAGGATGGACAAGTACAAACATAAAATGGGGCCTTGAAGAGGAAAGAGAGGGTAGAGAAGTTACTCGCAACACAAAGACATTTTGTTTATTTGTTTATTTTTTGGTCACACTTTATATTAGGTGGCCTTAACTTCTATGTACTTCCATCACAAAAATAAGTACAATGTACTTATATTGTGGTCATATTAGGGCTGCACAATTAATCACATTTCTAATCGTGATTACAATTACGGATGCCACAATTACGTAATCGTTCAAAGCAGCAATTAATCGTTTAAAGTCCACTTATGTTATTCTGCATGCTTAAGATGTTTTTTTTTCTTTCTACAGGTTATCGTAAGAGTTTTTCCATTGTTTTAATTTTAGTTTTAATATAACATTATAATACCAT